TTTACTGTATTGCTGTAACGCCATCTGCAGAAAGTTTATTCGCTGTTGATGATTCATTGACTTGCCACGTACATGGTACTACAACCATGGCCACGTATATAAAAGCAGAAAGAGCTGATTAGCGCGCAGTGGATTGGAGTCCGATGCAATCTAAGGTTATAATTTTATTCGCATCATAGCTTTGCAGAAAATAATTAATAGAACAAATTAATTAGTAATCAAGAAAGTGTAGCAGTTTTATGATTCAATAAATTGAATTGTTGCACAATCCTTGCTGCATATTTGTGCAGTAGCATTTGCAATTTCCTGTATTTCGGCCGCATCTTCCATTTGGTGAGTGAAGATAAATAATAAGTTAGTTTAAGTGCAGGATACATCAGGATTTAATTTTATTATTGAAAACCGCAAATGAATTGATTCAAACCTTGGCTGAAGTAATATTTTTCGCAAAATTTTTTTGCAATATTTTAAAATGCTAATTCGCATTACATTATTAAAAATTGTAGATCAATCTAAATTGTGATCACACTATTCCAGCTTCAACTTATGATTGCGTTGTAAGTCCAATATTCAGTTTAAATGATTAAATTATAATGGCTTTAGAATTCATAATATTAGGCACCAAGATCCAACTTGACCGTAGAAGACAATCACAAATTTATTGTGGTATTCACTTATACACGATCATCTAGTTCAACTTATTATTGATTATATCGATAAATCGATTTATTTACAACATGATAGTTGCATTTCTTAAACGGATTTCTATCATTTTTTTAGACATAAATTTTCGTGAACTGTCCATATATTATTATAGTTGAATTGTAAACAATTGAGTAGATTAGGAAATAAATTTTGTAGTTAATTTTGACATTTAAATGTCCAAATACGAAATCATAAAGCATTCACTCTTTTAGTAATTAGAATATTTAATGAAACTATGTCATTTTTTGTACCAAAATGTATTAAAATAAAGTATAAAAAATTCTTTTTAATTATTTATCTTTTAATAAATATTATTTTTATTAAAAGATGAATAATTATTTTTATCTTCAGATTTTTACGTAATATAATTATCTTATTCTTTACAAAAATAGGAACATCTGTAAGAAACAGCTTGAACACGTTCGCAATTGTAACGTAACATTATCTCTTACCTGGAAAAGA